AAGTCACACCGTACGAGGGTCAAACTTCACCAGGGTAAAAAGCTCACGAGAGTCAAACATCAATAGAGTCAAGTGTGACGAGGGTCAAACGTCACCAGAGTAAAATGTCACAAGGGTCAAACGTCACCAGAGTCAATTCGAGAGACAACACGAGAGTCATAAGAGGATGGTCAAATTCCATGAGAGTCAAACGTCACGAGGGTCACAAGGGGACGATCAAGTTTCATGAAAGTCGATCGATATGAGGGTTATAATGGGATTGTCAAATTTCACAAAAGTCAAACGTCATGAGGGTCACAGGGGATGGTAAAATTTTCAATTTTTCAGGGCCCCAAATGATTCCGTGGAAATTCAATAAGCTCGATAATTAGCACAATTATCCCTCTCACAATTAAGAGCCTGAGATTGTTTCATGTGACTTTTAAGGATCGTCTAAGCATCGTGTTTCCTTGTGACCCGTGTGGCCCTTGAGAAATTTGGTCATCCCCTTGTGACGTTGGACCCTCGGTGAACTGACCCTTGTGGCATTCAACCATCGTGAAATTTAATTACTCTCTTCTGACTCTCGTGACGTTTGACCCCCTTCAAAATTTGACGTTCCCTTTGTGAGCCTTGAAGCGTTTGGTCCTCATGAAATTTTACCATCCTCTAATGACCCTCGTGACGTTCGACCCTCGTGAAACTTGACCATCCCCTTGTGACCCTTGCAAAGCACGACCCTTGTGAGGTATGATNAATTACTCTCTTCTGACTCTCGTGACGTTTGACCCCCTTCAAAATTTGACGTTCCCTTTGTGAGCCTTGAAGCGTTTGGTCCTCATGAAATTTTACCATCCTCTAATGACCCTCGTGACGTTCGACCCTCGTGAAACTTGACCATCCCCTTGTGACCCTTGCAAAGCACGACCCTTGTGAGGTATGATCATTATGATGTTTGACCCCGTGAGGTGTGACTCTGCTGACATTTGACCCTCGTGAGGCATGACTCTCGTGAGGTAATGCCACAGATAATCGAATTCTTAATCGTTCTGCATCCGTTGTTGGAAATTGAAAAAAACGATTTGCCCTTGCTGTGTACCCTCGTACAATGCATACATACCCCACGGAGTCTATGATCGCAGGATATATCTGATAACAGAAGATATTGTAGTTTCTGAGGAACCTAGATTGGCCCTTCAATTAATTAATGAATTATAATTAGTACAGAACGCCAATACTATTGCTGTCTGAATCTGTAATGGATTCTTCGCCTGATTAACACTGACAATATTAGTATTATATTGTTCACGTACCGTGTGTGATTAGCGCACGCCCGGTGGATACTTCTCCTTGGATTTGTATCATTGAGCATGCAATTTATTTATTAATTTATTTTTGACTCCTACTGAGTGTTTTTCTCAAAGTTGATGACAGGTGAATATTTCAAAAAACAAGTATGCTGTCACTTCCTATCCCCATGGAAATCCCCGCCACCACCCAACTGCGCCCCAAGTGGTCGATTCCGGCAAAAGTCTGTCTAACACTTTAACACGGAAGCTCGACTCCCTGCCGTGGAACGCTGAAGCACTCTGCTCGCAGGAAGCGGGAATCTTTGAAAAAAAAGTAGACGACACAATTACTGTTTTGAGACGTTGAACTTTAATATTTCCGAGACACGATTCAATTCCTAGGAGTTGTTTTCTCTTCGGAGGGTGAGAGAGAAGTGTCCTAAGGTTGCCAGATACTTGGGGAGCCGAACCGCCAATACGTGGCGCTGTATAGCCCAAAAATAGCCCCCTCCAAAAGTTTCCCCGCCAATTCCCGCCCATTTCCAACAGAAAAATGGGAACAACTTATTCAATGTGAAAAATCCAGTATAGCAGAAATAAAAATACAAAGTATATTAACATTGCTAGCAATAATTTTCAGGGTTCAATTTAACGAGGGTCACACGGGTTCAATTTAATGTGGGTCAAGCGTCTATAGGATTCAATTTCACGAGGGTCACGAGGGTCAAGCGACTGAAGGGTTCAATTTCACGAGGGTCACACGGATTCAATTTAACGAGGGTCAAGCGTCTAAAGGGTTCAATTTTACGAGGGTCACCAGAGTTCAATTTAACGAGGATCAAGAATCTAAAGGGTTCAATTTCATGAGGATCACGAGGGTTCAACTTAACTAGGGTCTAGCGTCTGAAGGGTTCAATTCCATGAGGATCAAATGTCTCAGGGATAGATAGTTACGAGGGTTAACTCCCGTGAAATTTGACTATCCCCGTGTGACTTTTTTGTTGTTTGACCTTCGTGGAATTTAATCATTCCCTTGTGATCCTCGTGACGTACAATTCCGAGTGGAACTCTTTCCCCAGTCCTACAGTTATTATATTCAAAGAAAAATCATGCCGCCAGCATATAGCCTACTTGGCGGGTTACAGCCCGAAGCAAAAATTTGCCCGCCAAAATGCATCCCAAATAGCCCCTTCTGGCAATTAGTGTAGTCAATCTGGCATTTGACTCCCATATCAATTATATACAGGTAGAAAAATATACCAATAGATAGATAAAAATGTCCGAAAAAAATGTTCACCAATTTTTTGTTTTGTGATGGAGGAAACATTGAAAATAATGAAAAACAAAAGGCTGTTTTGGATGAACGTCAAGAATATCCACGGCTTCAATTAAATTCAACCAATTGTGGAGAAAAAATACTGGCATGTAGAGGCGTAAATTCTCTACAAAATGGATTTTGTAACCAACATTTTAGGTTTACTAGTTCTCCCGTAATAAATTATTGGAATTTTGTGACCTCATATCTCGCCAAGCAATTAGCTGATTCCATGAGGGTCTTGCCAGAATGAATGCAACGTAAGACACACGCAACGCTTGCAATTGTTAAAAGTAATCGAAAAACAGTTGAACGATTGTTTCATGCATTGCGTACGTTTCGCGGTGCGTCCATTATGGCATCACCCTAAGGTCCCGCTCCATTTGCGCACGCACCACCCTCCAAGAGGCGCAATGCGCAGTAGATTTAAAGCGTGCGGAATATTTTCCTGAGGAATTGGAACTTTATCAATATTCTTTTCCAGGATAAAATTTGATAAATGATATTTAGATTCAATTATTTATTTCAATATTGAGGATTGTCGCATATTTGAGATATAATGAGGAGGACATGCATGGAAAAATTTAATAGAAAAACCTAGCGCTTCCTTCAAGAAATTTTATTGACTTTCCGTTGGAAATTCACGAGAATTTCATTGTAGTTTTATGAAATCCTATTAAAGAATTCTTTTGCTTTTCCGCCAATTATATTGAAGATGAAGCAATTTTACCATGTCAGTTTGTCAAGAGATATTTGATGGAAAAAGGTCAATAGATTTTTATTTTTCTATAAGGAATTTTCTGGCATAAATTTTCCAAGTTTTTCCCGTTATATTTTTAATTGTTTCTGATAATTAAATCCAAGAAATAAAAATGAGGCAATTCTTTTTCAAGAATTCTTATAAAAATAATCCAGAAATGTTGGGAAATTCCAACAGAAATTGAAGAGACTTTATTAGAGAAAGAACTAGGTTAATTATAAATAATTCAAAATAAATTCCATTGAATTTCAAAGAAAAATTGAAAAAATTTGATCAACTATTTACAGCATGAAACCCCCTCTACTGGGTTTCCACTTTGTCGCTAGTGAGGGGGCTCGGTCGCGGGCGGTGGAGGTCTTAAGGACTACCGCCGCCCGTGGTCGCTAAGAGGAGCCCACCCAATCTATGTGTGTGAGCGGCGTAAGCCATGGCCTCGGCCATACCGTGCGTAAGGATGCGTGGCACAGGGGGAGCTGTGTCGCTAACGGTGCCTCTCAGAAACCTGGGCGACCTCTGAGAGTAGTCTTGGGTGTAACCCACCCGAGACAAGCCAAGCCCTGGGCAATCGCGGCAATGCACCAGGTGAAAACGCTTAACCGCGGTACTCGTGGGACTAAAATGGAAACCAATTTAAAAAATCTTAATATTGAAAAAGCAACTTCGGGTGGGGCCAGCGATGGCGAACACACGAAGTCTGACAAGGCTGACCAGTCTGGTACCGATGTGAATCGGGTCAGACTGAGTGGAGCCGAGAGAAGACGTCGCAAGAGAGCGAAGCTGCATCAAACCTCGGGGGCGATTGCAACCTTGACGGATGCAGCAGCGAAGGTCGATGAGGGAAGGGGGGAGGGGGCTACGAGGAAGGCAATAAAACGCCTTCCATCAGAGCGTACTACGCCAAGCCCCTCAGTCAGACCGAAAGAAAAGCGAATGAGAACGCAGGATCAGGGCACATATGTTCAGAATACTGCGAGCTCATTCAAGTTTGGAGAGTAGATGTGTAGGACGGGTTCTGGCCCAACCATTTTTGGGAAGGGTCAGAAAGGTCTGAGGGTGCCCCCGCGAGTGGGTGGTGGGGTGGGATTAATTGATTCGCGGTTTTAATTCGCGGTTTTGATTCACGGTTTTGATTTCGCGCTTTTGATTGACCGTTTTAATTCGCGCTTCAATTCGCGGATTTCATATTTCGTCGATTTGGGAAGGGTCTGAAGGTACCCCGCGATCGGGTGGTGGGTGTTTATTACGGTTTAATTCGCGGTTTTAATTCGCGGTTTTAATTCGCGGTTTTCGCTTTTCATCGAATCTCGGGTCAAGAGCTATGGGAGAGTCCCCGCGAGTGGGTGGTGGATGGGATTGATTGATTCGCGGTTTTAATGGTGATTCGCGGTTTTGATTCGCGATCTGGTTTTGATTCGCGGTTTTAATTCGTGGTTTTGATTCGCGGTTTTAATTCGCGGTTTTGATTCGCGGTTTAGTTGACGGTTTTGATTTGCATATGGTATTAAGGAGTTTTGGGAAAACTATTATTTAATAAATAAAAAAAAAAAACATTTAATAATGAAAATAATGATTTATTTATTTATTTAAACATATAAAAAATACTATTTAACCTATTATTTTTAATAAATAACAATATTATAATTATTATTGTATTGAAACATAAAAGATATTATTTACCCCCCCTATCCGGCTTCTTCTTGGTCAGCGTAAGCTAGTTACGCTGGCAAGTGACTCGGAGACACAGCTACGCCTCATGCTGCCATCGTATTATTGGCACATCGATGGCACCAACTCCATTCTCACCCTCAGGGCTAATCCCCGTCAGGAGCACCCAGCTCTCTCGAGGCAGCATCATGTAGGCACCGTTGAGGATGAGCAGCCATCCTTGTGGATCCAGATCGATGGGTCTGGCTGGCCTTCCCATATACCCATCCTCGATCCTCTGCGTGATGAGCTCATCCAACCGAGCTCTAGAAGTTTGCTGAGCCCAGGCTTCTGGGAAGTTAACTCCAGCTCTCAGCTCGCTATATCCTGAATATCCCTGTAAGCAGAAAAAAAAGTTATAGGAAATGTTCTGGAGATTTTAAATGATGGAGAAAGAAGAAACAGTGAGGGCTTGATACTTACTAGAGCTCGTGGGTAGAAAACAAGATTCTCTGCCTCCTGCTGGGGCTGCTGATGGTGCTGGGGCTGCTGATAGTGCTGGGGCTGCTGATAATGGTGCTGTTGATAGTGCTGGGGCTGCTGATGGTGTTGGGGCTGCTGATAGTGCTGGGGCTGCTGATGATGATGATGGTGCTGTTGATGGTGCTGGTCCTGTTGATGGTGCTGGGGCTGCAGATAGTGCTGGGGCTGCTGATAGTGCTGGGGCTGCTGATAGTGCTGGGGCTGCTGATGGTGCTGAGGCTGCTGATAGTGCTGGGGCTGCTGATGATGATGGTGAGGTTCCTCTTGAACCAGTATCGCTGGAGTAACGACTCCATCGCTATAGCCACTATCGTTATCATCATCCATTTGCTCCCCTCCATTCAAGACATCATCAATTATGACGACGTCATCATCATCATCATCATCATCGGTCTCCATGGCCATTTCCCGACACGGACCTTCCCAGACGATGACTACGTCGTCATCTTCTTCTTCTTCTTCTTCTTCTTCTTCTTCTTCTTCTTCTTCTTCTTCTTCTTCTTCTTCTGCTTCTTCTTCTTC